TAAGGAACCAGCAGATCAAGTAGCTTTTGGAATAAAACACCAATTTTTTTTAAATTAAACACTATCTAAAGATTTGCATCGAAGCGTTTATTTTTGATAGTGATTTTAATCACTGTCAGATATCATTATACTTGATCCAACTATACCACGTCACAACTATGCCGCGACCCCCCTGTGCTGGGTTTTTTTATTATCGATTATGAACAAAATGTCAACTAATTCAATTAAAAATACTAATATGACGATAATAAAAACGAGAATTATTTTATTTATCTAAATTAGTGTATATTACGCCTAAGATAGCATACAGATATTAGTTTCTTTAATTGTCTAGATAAGATACAAGTTTACTATTCATTATATAAATATTATATAAAGATACTGCACATAACTGTAAATAATAAACTAAGTTAAATGCTAGATTTTCACTAATTTTACAATAACTAGTTATATCCTGTTGAAATAATATTTTTTTATTTGATATTTTTTTATTGTATGTTATTTGTTCAATGAACAATAGATACCAAAGAAGAAAGAGGTGGCCTTTCTGAATCCTATATATACGACAATTTTGATTTCATGATATTACTAAGGGAACGCAAAATAACTTTGGATGAATACGAGACAGACTTTGGACTACGCACATGTATATTTCAAATAGACGATGAAGACTGTCCGACTAGATGCAAAGATTGTTTAAAACAATTACTAAATTTCCTCAAAAATAATCAAAAAGTAATTTTTTTTTATTAATGTAAACATTTAGTAATTTCATAAAATTAAATATTTAATTTTTAATTTTTTTTTCTCTTATGTTTATATCTATTTTCACATAAATTAATTATTTTATTACATCCCTCGTAAATTTTGGGTCATTTCTATATTTAGTGCAAACATATTTTGTGGGTTTCATCTATTCAATTTAAAAACAGCTATACCATCTCAAAACGAATTATAAAAAATTCCCTCAAAGAATATTTACTTTACACTAAAATGTTTTATGATAGTAAAAAGACTGTCAATCAGTCATTTAAATCGCTCAATATGTTTTCTACAATGATTTATCTCCACTATGATAAATTCCAATTGTATTAGGTTACTTCTATACTAATTTTTTTTTTTCAGTGTCTCCCCAGTAAAGTAACAGGAAACGATTTAGAATTTTTTGAACTGTTCAATTTTCCTGAAGAAAATGACGAGTGTGTATGTTAAAATGATATTATGGTTACATTTTAAAGATCTTAATTATCATTTGCAAATAAACAAATAAAGTTTGGAATTTAATTTATTAAATTAATGTACTTACCTATTTATGCTACTATAATTTTAGGTTCTCTAGTTTTGTATTATAATATTTAAGTCTCCAATAGAGACAAATTTATACAACTTATGATATTAAATGCCTGAAAATCAAGAGCAATTTTAAGATCCGTTTAGCAATTACAATGAAACAATTTTGATGTATACAAATTATGGTTACATTAAAATATGAAAAATGTAATTAATAAAAATATGTTAGTTTTAAATAGATCGCAAACTACTATACACTACAAAAAGCTATATTTTTTTGCTGTTTAACTAATGATAAATCATAACATATTTTCGTAAAATATTTCATTTTTTAACTTCGTATTTTTGTCAATTTTACTATCAAAACAACCTCACTTTTTTATTGGAAACATTTGCGTGACTAAAGATAGGATATGAATTTAACATAAACTATATACGCATTATACAATGGTTGGCAGTAGCAAATAAAAAAATATTTTTAGTTTTTCAATAACGTTAATATCTTGCTACTCGTTACTCAAGATCATAATCATCATCTCTTTAGCTTCTATTTTAATTATTTGGGGTTGATTTTACCTTATAATTTGACGGGATTTTACACCAGCTGTCGACCTTAAGCAACCTAATTATGGTTGAGATTGTAAGGAATGTCAAATTTTTTTTTTTCAAATTAAAGTATATTACATTAGCTTTAATTTAAGATATATATAAAAGTGTCAGACCTTCCGGAACATTTTCAAAAGTTATGTTGAAAAAGTAAATTTTTTGTGAAAAAGTTGTCATTTTAAATCCCCCCCTGTGGGCAGGTTAAGTGTCAGATTTACAAAAAAAATATACCAAATGATAGGTAAAGACATCAAGCATCTATATAAAAAAAAATTATATTGATATGTTCATTTTTGAAAAAGTTACGGCAGTTTTTAGTAAAAAAAATTGAAAAAATTTCGAAAATTAGCGATTTTTAAATTTGTAATTTTTTTGGAGGTTTCCCCCATTTACGGGGAACGAGGGAATTTTTTTCAATTTTTGAGGGTAATGTCTTCGACTAGATACGATTTGTGATCTTTTGACGTATCGTTGAAAGAAATCCGTTCTGTGAGAGCTGAGAAAAAGTGGTAACAGACAAAAAAAAAAAAAATAATAAAAAAAAAAAAAAAACACACATCATAGTAAAACCAATACCTTCTCAGCTTCGCGTCGAAGCTAAAAGGGTAATATTTGATATTGAAATTTAAATAACTAAAGAAATAAATTTAAAATTTAATCTATTTATATAAATGAATACAAATGTATGTAATTTTACTTTGATTAACTCAGATAAAATATTTATAGATAACTTTTATTGTGATAATTTAATTAAACTATATGAAATAACATGTGTTTTTAGCTTCGATGCGAAGCTGAGAAGGTATTAATTTTACTATGATGTGTTTTTTTATTTTTTTTTTTTTTTTTTTATTTTTTTTTTTGTGTCTGTGAACGCTCAATCTCAGCTCTCGCTGGACCGATTTTGATGAACAATATGTCAAAAGATCACAAATCGTATCTAGTCGAAGACATTACCCTCAAAAATTGAAAAAAATTCCCTCGTTCCCCGTAAACGGGGGAAATCCCCCAAAAAATTACAAATTTAAAAATCGCTAATTTTCGATATTTTTTCAATTTTTTTTACTTAAAATTGCCATAACTTTTTTAAAAATGACCGAATCAATATAATTTTTTTTTTTATAGATACCTTAGATAATTACCTATCATTTTATATATTTTTGTGAACATTTGACCCTTTAACAGCCCAAAGGATGGGGTTTCAAAATGGTAACTTTTTTACAAAAAATTAACTTTTTCAACTTAACTTTTGAAAATGTTCCGGAAAGACTGACAATTTTATATATACCTTAAATTAAAGCTAATGTAATATACTTTAATTTGAAAAAAAAAAATTTGACCTCTGGACTTGTCTTCATGGTGAAAATGACTACCGTATGCAAAAATATGCTATTTTTGTGAAAAAATTCTTGATATTATATTTTACATTTTTTAACATTATGTTGCTATAACTTTTTAAAAAATGCATGAATCAACTTTATTCTTTAATGATAAATACTTTATATATACTTCTTTCATTCGACATACTTTTTTTTAAAATCGGACCATTTCCCTTTATACAGGGGGGGTGCAAACCTTTTAAAATGCGTATAGAAAGTAGAACTTTTTCAACTTAACTTTTGAAAATGTTCCGGAAAGACTGACACTTTTATATATATCTTAAATTAAAGCTTATGTAATATACTTTAATTTGAAAAAAAAAAATTTGACCTCTGGACTTGTCTTCGTGGTGAAAACGGACATCAAAGTTAAAGAAAAACGTACGATTTCCGTGAAAAAAATCTCGATTTTATATGTTATATTATTTAATTTATATTTTATATAACTTTTGGAAAAATGTATGGATCAATATTATTATTTTTTTATAATAAATATTTATATACTCCTTTCATCTACACGCTTTTTTTGTAAATCGGATCATACCCCTTTAACAAGGGGGGTCAAAACTTTAATCATGCGTATTGTTACTATGATATTTTCAATTTAATTTTTGAAAGTATTCCGGAAATACTGACACTTTTATATATATCTTAAATTAAAGCTTATATAATATACTTTAATTTAAAAAAAAAAATGTGACCTCTGGATTTGTCTTCACGGTAAAAATGACTACCGTATTCAAAAATTTGCTATTTTTGTGTTAAAATTCTGGGTTTTGTATTTTATTTTATTTTAAAATACCTGACAAGGGGACTACAGATTTTCATAAATATTATATAAATAAAAAATTAATATAGCATAGAAAGTTAAACTTATTTAAATTTGTTTGCTTCTTTTAAGTCGAGAAAAATAACTTTGAAATTTGAACTAGCTTAAATAGCCTATTTTTTCACCCGACGGTAGCGACGTACGGTTGCCGAGTTGGTAAAATTTATGTTTTACACGCTTGGGGTACGAGGTTCCAACCCGCGTATGGCAATGAATTTTTTGCATTTTTTCTTAATTCTTTTTAAGTTAGTATGAATTTTTAACTCATTTAGATTCAATAACTTCAATAAAGATCAATGATCCCATCACTTTAGTCGCCCCTTGCAAGAAGAAATTTCTTATTCGTATTAAAATTATTTTACTATATTTTAAGTTTTAGCTTCGATGCAAAGCCGAGAAGATGTTTTTTTGTGAATATCATTTATTTTCTCTGCTCTAACTTGACCTACTTTTTTCAACGATACGTCCAATGACTACAATTCGTATCTAGTTGAAGATATTACTCTCAAAAATTGAAAAAAAAATTCTAATTTATCAATTAAACAGTTAGTTATTACATCGTCTCCATAAAGACAATTAAAATCATTAATTTCTAATGTTTTCAAAATATTTATTAACGAATGAAGTTTGATATGATAGGTTTCAACTACAAAATTAAATCATTTTACTTTGTAATTTAATAATTTTTTTACTCTATTTGTGTGTGCTACTACTAGACTATAATATTACAATTTTTTTTTGTAACATGTTGCTATATAAATCATTTCTAAAAAAAATGATTGTTTTTTCTCCTGAATTAACAATTGATTTTTACAAATATAATCAAATTTTATAATACACTCAATTGAGTAAATCTTTTTAACAACTTTGTTTTGATTGGTACATTTAGTTAAAGTAAATCATTAAAATTAATTAAGTTCTCAATATTTCAATTATAGAATCTTTTCAACAAACAACAAAAGTTCCTAGGAAATTATTACTATTACTTCTATTTAAGTTATCTATTACCATAAAAATGCAAAAAAATATTGAGCTTTTCTGATAAATTTACAATAAATAGTAATTATAAAACTTTCTGACTGCATATTGATCTTAACGATACAATTTTTTTAATTGTCATAAAATTTTCTATTTAATTATGTCAATGTCAAACTTACCAATTGAGCTAAAAGTTATGGTAAAATAAATTTTTTTTTTTTATTATAAACATTTACAACAATCAACTTTAAACGATTAACAAAATAGGTTAAATATGTCATTTTCCTTATTTTTAACTTATTAATAATCAAATTAATATTAAATATTATATCAAATCAGTATTAATTTAAAACAATTTTTTTTGTTCTTAATTATTTTTTTTTATATGTAAAAACTATTTTTTAATAATATTAAAACTTAGAAGTTATAGAAAAAGTCTAATTGCACATTTGAAAACATCGCGAAATGTTGATTTAGAATATTATATTTTTATTTCTGATGAAAGTTCCTTGTAGTACAGTGTATAAAACTTATAACTTTGTTAATTGTTATAACTTTATCAAAAATGACCAAATCAGTATATTTTTTTTTATTTAGATGCATGTCTTTATCTATCATTTGGTTTTTTTTATAAATCTAACCCTTTACCTGCCCACAAGAGGGATTCAAAATATTAACTTTTTTTTTTTTAGTTAAAGTAAATCATTAAAATTAATTCAGTTCTGGATATTTCAATAGTAGAATCTTTTTAAATATCAAAAATTACTTAGAAATGATTACTATGATTTCTATTTAAGTGTTCTATTACGATAAAAATGCAAAAAATAATGAGTTTTTCTGATAAATTTACAATAAATAATAATTATAAAACTTTCTGACTGCATATTAATCTTAAAAATAACATTGTTTTAATTCTCATAAAATTTTCTATTTAATGATTCATTCTAGTCAACGAAGGAGTAATTTTGCAGAATAGCAGAAAAAATTCCCAACAAACTTTTTTTTTTTTTGTTTTAATTAGGCAATTGGTGGATTATTCCAAAAGCAACATCAACTCTTATTTCTTTAATTATATCATGATTAGTAGTTCTTTGATTTTAAAATATAATATATGAATATATACTAATTATAATTATTAAATTTAGTATGAAATTGATATTTAATATTGTAATTTAAACGGAGAAATTATAAAAATAATAAAGAAGTTATATTTTGCTTTACTTTTACGTGTATAAAAATTTAAAGGGCTTGATACAATAATTTTCAATAAAAACTGTTTGTTTTTAAAAGTTGAATTAAAATATGTATAATGACATACTAATAGTCCTCAAGATTGGAATTGAGCTTTTTTTTTACAGCCTCGCAAAAGTTCAAAAATATGAGCTTTTTTAATTTTCTCAAAAAATATTTAACTTACAAAAAAAAGTTTCGTACAAAAGTTGTTTAAAAGACAAT